GGTCCAGGGTGGACTCGCCCCGGGGTTTCTGAGGCTTTACATCTGTCTGGGAACAGAAAGCCTCATCTTTGCCCCACACAACGGCTGGTAGATTTGAACCACCGACCTCGTGATTAGTAGCCCAATGTGTAGTTCACTACCCCATCGGGGTGTCTTCATTCTTCTTGCAGTTCCTGACTGCTTTGGCCAGAGTGCTGTGAACCAATCTTGTAACCGTTCTCTCTGCAGCGGTGTGCCTGTCCCAGTCATGGCCCCTCTCCTGCTTCGGTAGTCCGCCCGCCACTGCCAGGGACTGATCTGCCACCAGTCACAGTTCTGTGCCTGCTTCTCCGGTGTTCCTTGTCTTCTTTAAGTGGCCATGTGGCTGCTTAATGGTGGGAATCCTCAGACACCATTAGGGCCTCTTGCTGATGGGCTCCCTCCTCTGGATGATTGGTCCTTGTCTTCTTTAAGACTGAGAGGATATCTATAAAATACATTTGGATTTGTGACTCCCCTGCCCCCCCAAAAGAAAACACTTCTAAAGATCGCTTATATTTCTTCTAAGACTAAGTTATTGATTCTTCTAACAGTCCACTAAAATAAACTCCCTTCTCACCGGCGTAGTCAATGCCAGCTCATGTCAGCTCTTTACCGGGGTAGAACACCTCATCTTTGTCCCGAGGAGCGGCTGGTGGTTCTGAACTGCTGACCTTGCAGTGAGCACCACAACTCTCTGTGCCACCAGGGCTCTCTGGACAGTGCACAGTATATTCAGTATTGTTCGCCGGCACTATTGTCACCCGTAGGATGAGTCCTTGTGCTACTTTCTGAGCCAGTTTAAACACAGTAACACTTCATGCCAGCCTCTCCTTCAAAGAAAGATAAGGTTGTCTGATCCCTTGAAGATTTACAGCAGCAATTCCCAAAGTGGATGAGACCATGCCCTGAAGGGGAGCAGAAATGATCCAGGAGGCCCGACAAAAGCAGATACCTACACTTTATGCTGGACTGCGGGCTAGAGGACAAGCAGTTTTAACTGCCAGGGAGACAGAATTGCTGAATATCTATATAGCTGCGGTCTTGGAAACCCTGGCTACTTTGAATTCCCAGCTGGATCTTGACTTGCGCATGCCTATGAGGCTATTGAACATGCCGTGACTTGGGTCTGTCACGCAGGTGGGTGTTGGGGTTGTTAGGTGCCATGAAGTCAGCCCCACCTACAGCACTCATGCACAACAGAGCGGCACACTGGCCGGCCCTGCCCCACCCTCACCATCAGTCCTATGCCCGAGCGCATTGTTGCAGCCACTGGTCAAGCCCTCTTCTCGAGGACCTTCCTCTTCTTCGCTGCCCGCTTCTTTACCAAACGTGATGTCCGTCCCTTCTCTGTGGACGAGTCTCTCCTGACAACATGTCCAAAGCATGGAAGACATAGTGGAAGTATGGAAGGACAGCCGGAATGCTCCTTAGAGGCGAAGACGTGCTTTGGGCTCATTGTCAGCAGAGACCAATCCCCCTGGCTGTGCTTTTTCCAAGACAGATCTGTTTGTCCTTTGGCAAGTCGTACAGACAGATACGGAAATGCTTAGTTGGGGTGAGTGAGGGGTATGGGTGTTTCCTGCATCCACAGCCCCTGGAGAAGTTGTGTTCTAGAAGCAGAGGCTGTGTGGTGCCTGGTGGGTGGAAAAGAAGGTGGGACTTCAGAGGGTGGCGTACCAAATGCTTGCCTGAGTGAGGACAGACCCCCGGGGCTTGCTAGAGACTAGAGACCCCAGGACATGTCTGGAGAGTCAAGGGTGGGGGTGGAATTTCATCCACAGGGAAGAGAACAGAGGTATGCAGACACCAAGAACATCATGGGAAGGGATCAGGTGTGGAGGGGGGATCAGCCCCCAAACGGAACAGATCTTTCCAGGGGTCCCTTGTTGTGCCACCAAGTTGCTTCCACCTCATGGGGACCCACGCACGACAGAAGGAACCACTGCTCAGTCCTGTGTCACCCTCACCATGGTTCTTGCGTGGGAGCCCATGGCTGCAGCCACCGTGTCAGTCCACCTCCTCCAGGGCCTTCCTCTTTCCCCTACACCTTCACTTTAGCGAGCACGATGGCCTGCTCTGGGGACTGGTCTTTCCTGACAGCGCGTCTAAGAAGCATTCTGGCTGTACTTCTTCCAAGACACATCAGCTGCCCTTCAATACTCTTGCGCAGCACCGCCATTCAGATGCATCCATTCTTCTTTCTCGGTCTTCCTTATGCAATGTCCAACTGTCACATGCATACGAGGCCGTTGAAAATACCATGCCTTGCGTCAGGGCCACCTTAGGCCTCAACGTGACTCTTCATTTTTCAACACTTTCAAGAGGGCTGGTGCAGATATGCCCCATGCAACGTGTCCTTTGATCTCTTGATGCTGCATCTGTGAGCATCGATTGGGGATCCAAGCAAGTTGAAGTCCTTCACACTTCAATCTTTTCCCCTTTTATCGTGCTGTGTCCAGTTGGGAGGACCATTGATTTCTCTACATGGAATTGTGATTCACATTCAAGGCTGCAATCCTTTATCTCCGTCAGCAAGGGCTTGAAGTCCTCTTCACTTTCAGCTGTCAGGTTTGTGTCATCTGCATATCACTGTTTGTTAATAAACCTCCTCCAATCCCGATGCTCCCTTCTTCTTCCTGTAGTCCGATTATTAGCTCACCGCAGAGAGTGAATTAGTGCGGTAAAAGGGTACAGCCCTGACGCACACCTGTCCTGATTTTAAACCATGCAGCCTTCCCTTGTTCTGTTTGCACAAATTCCTCTTGATCCATGTACAGGTGCTGCATGAGCACAATGAACAGTGCCGGAATTCCCATTCTTCTCAAGGTTATCCATAATTTGCTATGGTCCATGCAGGTGAATGCCTTGGCATAGTCAATAAAACACAGGTCAACACCTTTCTGTTATTCTCTGCTTTGAGCCAAGATCCATCTGACACCAGCAATGATACCCGTTGTTCTACATCTTCTTCTGAATCCGGCCTGAACCTCAGACAGCTCCCTGTCAGTGGCCTACTACAGCCTTTGTTGAATGACCTTCGGCAACATTTTACTCACATGTGCTATCAGTGATGTTGTTCGTTAGTTTCTGCATTCTGTCGGCCCCCTTTCTTTGGAATGGGCACAGACAGGGTCTCTTCCAGGTGCCACGGCACAGACAAGTGAGTCATTTCCTGGAGCCTTGTTTTTGGCTAATGCATTCACTGCATCTAGGACCTCTTCCTAAGGTATTCCTTAGTAGGATGGAAGTTGAGGCTGGGGAGGGGCTCGTGGTCCACGTGTCTTACCCCCTGGGCCCGGGGAGCCATGGAGGGCATGGAGCAGAATAACAGCATGTCTAGGGTTACCTGAGACAGGTAAGGGTTATTGTGCCAACCTGGCCGATGAACACATGTGGGATTAATTGAAGGGTGGAGAGATAAACGCTCAGTGAGCCTCGTCTTTCTGGTTCTTGGGTCTCTTGCTTTGTGATGGTCGGACCAGAGTGTGGCTGCCTTAGCCAGTTCCCTGCTTCAGCTGGCAAGACTCACTTCTTACGAGACTTCCCTGAGGAGAAGCCACATGGACCTACCCTGATGCAGCCCTGGGTGCTGGAGCAGCCGTGTGGAGACCCCTGCCAGCGCTGAAGTGCTTACACATTCACTGACTCAGCTTTTCTCCTGCAGTTGGCGTCATTGCGTGTGTTTTGTGAGATGGAGGAGGGCTTTGTGGATTGGTGTCGGACATATGAGCTAATGTTGGACTTATGGGCTTGGAGAGCACTGGGTTGGGATGCTTTCTGAATGTACGCTTACCTGTTTTATAAAACTCTCTGTTATATACATATGAGTTTCTGTGGACTGGTTTCTCCAGTCTACCCAGATGTACACATTAGCTCTGTAAAGTCACCCCGGCACTCTACCAGCTGCATGGAGGCCAGACGGCTTCCCACTCCTCCATTTGGACACTGTTTTGGGGACCCTCGCTGCACTCTCCTCCACGCCCCACCACTCTCCCTGCCCTTCCTGCATCCTGAGCTCTGTGTTGGGGGAGATGCTGCCTGGGGGTCTCGTCTGGCAGGTTGCTCTGAGCAGGCAGGCTCCTCACGGGTCTGGTGGCTGTTGGCTCTGTGGACCTGTGTGGCTTTCAGCTGGAAGGTGGTTCCCAGGAGTGGGCTCGGCTCCATGGTGGAAGGGGGACTGAGGAAGGGCCACAGCCGCAGGTTTCCACCCATCTCTGCCAGACCGACAAGTCTGACTTTGAACTCTGCTCCACACTTTACTCCCATTCTGCCCACGACCTGTGATCCGGATCGGAGCAGCTGACAGTGGCTGCTGGGCTCTGGGCTCCGAACACTTCAGGAGGGTTTCTCTGAATCCCTGAGCAGGAGTCCTGGCTGGCACCAACAGTTGCTCCCCTGCATACTCTCCAGATGGTTAGGGACTCCCATTCCACCTGGAGAGGAGGACATCGGAGCCAAGGCCAGGCCATCTCCTTGCATGACGTAGAAAGCCCCGTCTTTCTCCCGAGGAGCTGCTGGTGGTCCCAGACTGCAGACCCTGCGGATGGCAGCCCAGCATGTCACCCCCACACCACCCGGGCTCCACTGCCTGCAGGCACAGCCTTGGGGAATCTCTGGTGTAACGCTTTGATACAAGAGGTGCCCCGAGTTGGAACCGACTCCAGGGTGGGGGGTTGTGGTGGGGGGCCAGGCTGCCGGCTGGTCCCCGACATCGTCTCTTTGGCACGCTCTCTCAGGCCCGGTCGGAACTGCTCCGGGAGAGGCTGGAGCTGCTGGAGGCTCAGGAGCAACGCGTGGCTGAGTTCGTGGTGTCGCTGCAGTTTCAGAAGGCGGCCGAGACCTCCAAGAGGCTGTCGGCCTACACCGCCCTCCTCTGCCTCCAGGACGTGCTCCTGGAGGAGCTGTGCGAGGCCGAGACCCTCACCAAGGAGGCCCGCACCCAGATCCTGCAGTCCCACACCCCGGTGAGTGCG